TCGTTCTGCATATTTACTTTGGGACTGCAGAACAATATTCCGGGAGATTGCCCCCTCCCCACCCCTCGTTCTGCATATTTACTTTGGGACTACTGAACTGTATTTCGGGAGATTCCCCTACACATTTACGTTTGGGACTGTGAGACGGTATCTCGGGAGATCCCCTGTTGTTATCTCTGTGTTTTGGGTTGTTGTCTTTCTATGATTCTGTTCCTGTTAGATTTCTGTATTTATTTTACTGCGATATTTTATTCTGTCTTATTTAATGATATTTATACCAGTAGAGCCCTTACCTAATCTCGTCACTACTTGACCGAGGTTAGACTTGGCACTTACTAGGTACCGTTGTGGTGTACTTATGCCCTTCCCTGCACATATTTTTCGTGTGCATATCTAGGTACCGCTTTTCAGCCGCGTTATCAGTGAGGCGAGCCAGCTGTAGAGACTTGTATATCTACCGCGTCCGCAGACCTTGGAGTCCCTATCTACTCTTCCCCGTGTCAGACAGTTCTTGTGTTTCCTTTTAATAGATTCTGTAGTGTAGAAATATTGTTTTCTTTCTGTAGCTTGTGACTTGCGGTATTTCGGGTTTTGTGAGAGTTTATGTACACTTCGAGAGTGGTTATTGTATATGCCGAGCGACATCTTAATTTCTTGTTAAAAATTTATCTGTTAGTTGTAGAAACTAGGTGTTGTCACGACGGTTCACGGATGAAGAACTTGGGTCGTGACACTTGCCTTGCTACGATCTGTAGCACCGGAGTCTCCCTCTACCTTATTTACTATTTTGTCTATTACTTTCGGACAGTAGTTGTAATAGTTTTGTATATTCCCTAGATTGCTCATGTACCAATGAAGCCGGATTTTTGGGAATCTTTAGCATTTATGTACTGCTATATTTATCTTTTCTTTCACCGCTATGGATATTCTTATTATGATGGCATTTTGTTTCAAAGAAATGTTACGGTGGCATGAAGTCTAGTTTAAACTGTTCTTTAAAGATAAAGGAAAAACTCCCGTTCTAAAATTGTTAAACAGGGTAAATAAATTGTAATTTCACTTGTGGGCTTGCCTAACGGCGGCGTTAGGTGCAGTCGCGGCCTATTACAAATTTTGGTCATGACAAGAAACAAAAGAGAAGACCGATAAAAACTAAAAGAATGAAAAAATCAACAGAAACCAAATTACAAAAAAAAATATTAATAAAAATAAGAAAAGGAATTTTTATATGATATTTTACTTTTTTTATTTATTAAAAGCAACTCAAATCGAACCGCAAAAACGAGCATGAAGAGAGTTTAAACCTCCACAATTCACTCTTGGTTTATGATTTGTTAATTTTTTTTTTTGGACTATTAATGTTCATTCAGAGTATCTTTTTGGTCCATTTTAAAATTAGCGCGAGGTTATTTTGATCATACAATATCTTTTACTGGAGTATGCAGTATCTCATATCGCCAGATATTTACCTAGTAATCGAATTTTCAAAGTGATAACTCAAGTTCGAACTGAAGGATGAAATATTGTTTCATTTGCCTAAGACTTGTCAGGCAATGTATGATCACGCTAGTGATACATACATATCGGATTAGTCGAGGCAAGCACAAGCCGTTCTTAAATTAAAGTAGAAAATGCTTCCTTTGGTTTTTAAATTAAAGTTCACGCATAATTTATAGAAACCTCCCTTATGTTAGGAGAGTGTGAGTGTGTTATTCGATTGTGGAGTTGATTGACCAAGTAGGCATCTTTACTCTTTGATTGTCATGTTATCCGTATTCTCAATTACTCATGATTGATTTTTAGTTTTCATTGTCGAACTTTCTAAATATGCTAAGTGATTAGTGCAAATATTTTATATAAATTATAAAAATAAAATTCGCGAAATTATAAAAGTCCAGAAACAGTTTAACGAAATGCTAGAGGGAGATTATAAGTACTCCTCTGGCCTATAGTCGGATTTCAAACTATATACTTAAACTTTGTGGGAGTTCTATTA